TCTCAGCATCCCCTCTGGCGTGCAGCTGATCACCATGAGCAGCCTGTATGTGGGCAACTGGATCTGCCAAGGGAAAGGCTAAAGCAGTGCCAAGGGCTGGGGAGAGCCAAAAAAGTTGGCTGAAAACCTTACCAGAGGAGCCGGGGCCAAAGATTACCCTTCAACAGGCACACAGAGCACTGAGGTGTGGCCATGGATGAAGCTCTCTGAGGTGGGAGTGCCAGGCCCAGCAGAGTAAGAAAGCAGGGACAGCCTCTGGAAGCATTTAACGGGCAGTTCTCTGTCTCTGGAAACATTTCCAGAACAATTGGCTGTATCTGCTCCAGTTCAACCAGGAATGCTTCCTGGAAGAACTCGATTACCCCTAGAGCCTTACAATTTATTGGCTGGGTCCAGCACTATCAGAGGAGGCCCAGACCCGAAACAGGCACAGAGCCATAAATAGCCTTTTATCACGAAAACATCACGTCCTCATGGGCTGTGACTGTGAGACAGCTCGGACAGGCCCTGCTCCAGCACATCAGGAAGCTGCTCTCAGCCCTCAGCACTACTTGGTCCCTTCCAAATCCCAAGTACAGCGTGGGTGCTGCCCACCCTCTGTTCTGGAGGGATGCCTCGGGGTCCTTGTCACACGTGCCTGAGCCCACGTCACCCACACATGGTGGGGTGGTGGCAGGTCCACTGCCCTCGACATCAAAATCACAGCAGGGAAGGGGACCTGCTGAGCCCTGGGGCTCCCCTCAGGAGAGGCCCAGCTCCACCTTAAGCTGCAAAATCAGACAATCCCAGAATGGTTTTGGTTGAAGGGACCTTAAAGCCCATCCAGTTCCACCCTCTGCCGTGGGCAGGGACACCTTCCACTGTCCCAGGCTGCTCCAAGGCCCATCCAACCTGGCCTTGGGCACTTCCAGGGATGGGGCAGCCACAGCTGCTCTGGGCAACCTGTGCCAGGGCCTCACCAGCCTCACAGCCAGGAATGCCTTCCAAATATCCCATCTGTCCCTGTCCTCTGTCCATCTGAAGCCATTCCCTCTTGTCCTGTCCCTCTATTCCTTGTCTCAAGTCCCTTTCAAGCTCTCCTGGAGCCCCGTTAGGCAGTGGAGGGGCTTTGAGCTGTCCCTGGAGTCTTCTCCAGGTGAACACCCCCAGCTCTCCCAGCCTTGTCTACAGAGCAGAGGGGCTCTACCCCTCACAACATCTCTGTGGCCTCCTCTGGACTCACTCCAGCAGCTCCACATCCTTCTGACGTTGGGGACCCCAAAGCTGGAGCATTGCAGGAGGGTCTCACAAGAGCAGAGCAGAGAGGCAGAGAACAGAGCCAAGGAGAAGACAGCTGCCAGCCTGAATCTGACTTGTTTTCTCCTCTTCCCATCAGCTCACCAGCTCCTCTCCTCCTCAGAAAGGCCTGTGACCCCAAGGGATGACACCAGATGTCTCTGACAGCCAGAGAGTGTCACAACCAGCTTCTGCAGGGCAGAACCATCCCTTGTCACCCCAGCAAGACCAGGACTCCCGATGCTCAGTGCCGTAGGAACACAACAAAGAGAACACAGAGACCAGAGATGCCCTGCTGTGATGGAGAGGAGCTGCAGAAGGGATGAAGGGCTGAGCTGCTGGGAGCAGCGGCCATCAGCTGGTGTCCCCGAGCAGGCACAGGCCGTGCAGGCAGCGTCCACCCGCTGTCCAGCCAGCCCGGCAGCACAAAGGCTCTGCCTCTGCTGTGGCTGAGCGGAGCCAATGGGCACGGCAGAGGCAGAAACGCTTCATGTGCTGCATGGGAGGAACGGGAGGGGAGGGAAGGGGGGAGGCGCAGACAAAGAACAGGGAGATGGAGAGGGAAAAGCAGGCAGGGAGCAGAAGGTGAAGCGGGGAGGACGGGGCTGGGAGATGTGTGTGTGCAGCCCTGCGCAGGAGGAGCTGGGGAGCGAGCGGAGCGGCAAGAGGAGCGCGCAGCCAGCCCCTCACAGGGCCCTGCAGGAGCAGCAAGCCAGGCCCAGCGAAATGAAAATCTCTTAACCACACGGAATTGTTAACTGCCCCCAAATCCTTTTGTGCTGGGGCTGTGAGCTTAGAAGAGCTTAAGCTGTTAGATGCATGAACTTCCTCCATAAATATCCCTTGTGCACACTGCCGCGAGCAGGCTGGCGTGCTATTAGCCAGATGAAAAACCAGCAGAGAAAATGAGCAACTCCTTCCAGCTGCACAGAGGGTTGTCCATTCCTTGGGATGTCCTCCTCCACCTGGACCCTTTGGTGGGGCAGGACCGTGGCCCCCCATGCTCCCTGCCACGTCCTGTTTAGGCGCCTGAGTGTGTGAGAGAACTTCACCCCCAAAGCCAGCTCAGATTTGCTATTGTTTTGCTTCTGGAAAGGGCCCAGATTCCCTCCCACCCCTGGAAACACGAGCAAACCTGCCAGCCACATGTAGGAGTGAGTCCCCCAAGCCAGGCGGCTCCGCCACTGCCTCCACAGGGACCGGGGCAGGGACCCGGCGGGAGGAGGGTGGGGATGCAGGGATACATCCCCAGCTCCTTCCCGAGGAGGGCAGGGATGCAGGGATACATCCCCAGCTCCTTCCCGAGCACAGCTAGGATGCAGGGATACATCCCCAGCTCCTTCCCGAGCAGGACAGGGATGCAGGGATGCAGGGATACATCCCCAGGTCCTTCCCGAGCAGAGCTGGGCTGAGCAGCCCCTTCCCAGCCCTTTTTGCGGCTCACTGGGAGGGCTGGGAGAGGACGGGGATTCCATGGCTGTCCTGCCAACTCCGTGTCTGGCTCTCCTCCCAGTCCACACTCCTCTTCTGGGGGCTGCCAGGGAAAAATGGAGGGGCACAATCCTGGGGTGCCATCCAGCCCTGATTCCACCCCACATGAGAAGAGGAAGGGAAAGAAGGAATGGGGAAGAGAAAGGCAAAGATCGAAGGGAAAGAGAAATAAAAGAAGAGGGGGATAAGGGAATAGGAAGGGGAAGGAAAAGGAAAGAGATTAAGAAAAGATTAAGAGGGAGGGGAAGGGGAAACAGAAGAGAAAAGCAAAGGGGAAGGAGAAGGGGAAAGGTAAGGAGAATGGAAATGAAAGGAGAAAGGGGAAAGAGAAAGGGAAAGGGGAAAGGGGAAAGGGGAAGGGGTAGGGGAAGGGGAAAGAAAAGAAAAAGGGAAAGGGAACGAGAAGGGGAAGGGGAGGCAGCCCCGAGCCAGCTGCCCCATGGAGACGATGGGCTGCCGGCCACCGCGTGATTAATGAGGGCGGGGAGCGCGGCCAGCACCGGCTGCAGAAACAGCTGCCGAGGTACCGGACCTCCCAAAATCCTGCTGCTGCTGCTGCTGCTGCCCAGACAAAGAGGGGACCGGCCTCTCCCTCCTTCTCACTCCTCCGCCTCGGCCCCGCTCCTGCCTGCTCTGCTCCCCCCATTCCTGCGGGGACAGGGCTCTACAGGAGGGGTGCTGGGAGCCCCGGGGTATGCGAGGGGACTGTCCCTTGGCTGGGCCCGCAGTGGCACCGGGGACTCTCCAAGAAACCCCGGCTGCATCAGAGCAAAGTGCTGTGCAGGGCTGGGTCTGCTCCGGGAACTGAGACAGAAAAGCTGCCATGAATCACTGGGGTTTCTGGTGTTGCTACAGATGCTTCACTTGGGAGCTGTAAAAGCCCCGTCTGCCCTTCGAGGCAGGGATTAGCCGGGCTCAGTTTCCAGCAGTACTTCCTTGCTGTCCCCATCCCCATCCCTGCTAAGGCTGTAAGACACTTGATCTGCCCGAGCTCGGTGGGAAGAAGCGTTCAGTGGCTAAGTGTGGAGTAGCTGAAATAATGGATATTAAATGATCCCCACAGCAGACCAGAACGTGAATTTTGGTGCATGAGCAGCCCAGCCACTAGCAGCAGACAAGGAACCCCCTCCAAGGGGACCATACAGCCTGCAGTCCCTCCTGAGCACGATCAGATTGTCCATTGCCCTCTTCAGTGTGTCTGCCTCCCACTACCAGCACCTTCCCCATGCTTGGTTCTACCCGGCCAACGCTTCACAGCCAGAAGAGAGGAGACACAGCTCCTCCCTTGGCTCTGCAGTGGCAAACAACGTGTCTATAATGGATGTCAGAAGCCCTGGCTCTGCTTGGAGTGTGCCGATGCTATCGGAACCGCAGAGGGATTTGGACATTCAGCCAGGTCAGGAGAAAAAGATCCTGTTTGCCAAACTCTGTGGTTTGCTCCATGCCTGGCACAGCTGCAGGTGCCCATCACACAGCTCTGGGGTCCCCACCTCCCTCCCAGCAACACCAGGAGCTCCTTTCTCAGCCTTCCTGAGCCCATGTATGACTGGACAGGGGCACAGATATCAGCTCAGGGAGGGGGGTGCTGAGCTTCTTGCCAGCCTGGGACCAGGCTGGCTCCATGGTGCTCAGCAGAGCTCAGCAGGCACTCACAGAGTCTGCTTTGAACACCTACACGGGGAGGAGAATATCTACAGAGGCAGAACATTTACAGGGCAGGAAACCTCTGGCTGTTGAAGAGCACAGGGGCCAGGTAGCTCTGAACAGGCCATGACCATGTCCTGCCCTGGGCCATTTGCACCTCACCAAGAAAACACTGTAGACAACTTGCTCTCTCCCCCTGCACGCTTTTGGGACCCTGCATTCCCATTCCCCTCATCCAACAAGAGATTCAGACCATGCCAAAGCACACAGCAAAACCAACAACATAACAGCCCCAGTATTTTGGGAGGCAACTACAGATTGGTGACATGCACCACATGTGTGCCTCCAAACCCTGGAGAGCATGGATGGCACCAGCAACAGGTGTCAGCCCTCAACCCGGTGGCTCTGGGGACCCAGAGGTCATGCACAACCTCTGCAATGGACGCATGAGCCTGGGGCAGGAAGTGAGGAGCTGGGGAAGGAGTCATGCCCCTCTGCCACCCCTGCCCAAGGAGGTCCCTCCCAGACGGTTCATGCAGATCCCAGATGCAAATCCCGAGGCCCCCCAGCAGAGGTGAGCCCGTGGTTACCTCTGCAGACGGTCCCGTTCTCCACCGACTCGTAGCCGGCCCGGCACATGCAGCGGCCGATGGGCACCAGCCACTCGCCGTCGCCGTTGCAGTACAGCTTGATGGGCACGTCCACCTCCTCGGCATTGGCAATGCACGTGCCCCTGGCTGCCACCAGCGAGGTGCTCTCTGCTCCCGACAGGGTTTCTTGGAAGACAGCCCCGTTCTGGATCACACGGGGACATTTGCGGTAGAAGACACGGACGGCAATCAGGGACATGCAGCCCCCGTAGTCCTGGAAGGCCAGGTAGAAACCATTCTTGGAGACGGGCCCAAAACTGCGCACCTCGGTGTTGATCTTCATCACCCGTCCACCTAAGTCCACCTGTGAGAAGCTCTCGTCAGCAGCAATTGTGTCCACCTTCATCCAAGGATTCTCCATCCAGTTAGGAAAAGTCTTGGTGGCCGAGTCAAAGTCTGACTCGAAATAGTACAGGTTAAAAGTCTCCTTACAGGAGCCTGGGACATTTGGGATGCTGCTGCAGTCCCGGACAGAGAATTTCATCTCCACGTGGATGCGGTGAGCTCCTCGCCTGCGGATGTACTTGGTCCGGAGCCAGTTGTTCTGGCTGGATTCAAAGACGTTGCACACCTGGTAGGTGCGGATCGTGTTCATGTTCTCATCGTACCCACTCACCTCTTCCCACTGCGGGCAGGACACACACAGTCAAGGGGCTGCTCTGAATGGGCGCTCCCCACCCTCCTCACCTCTTCCCATCCCCACTCTGTGCCAGGTAGGCTCTGCCAGCCCCAGCTGCCCCTCTCTGTGCCCACCCCATCCCACAAGCTGTCCCAGAGTCCCCGCACCTCCTCCCAGCACCCCCTGCAGGTGCCCTGTACCTGCCTGGGCAGGGTTTGACCCACACCATGCCCCAGGCAGGCTGCACACTGTGCAGACAAAGGGGCCCCTCAGAGCCACCTTGCTGCCACTAGCACCATGCTCCACGCCTGGATTCAGGATCAAGCCTCTCTGCTGCTGGAGGGACTGCTCTGCAGAAATGATTTTAACTGGGACTGTGTCTATGGCTGCATTGCTGTGCCTCTGGCAAAAGAACACAGTGCCTTTAGCACAAGGATTCCCACCAGTGCCACTATGGTGGCAAACATTCCTCATAAGCCACAAAACCTCCTGCTTTGGCTGCAGCCAGTGCCTCTTCTCAGGAGCAGGAAGGGACCACGGCCAATCCTGCTGTGCTCTCAAAAAGGAGGTGCTGGGTAAGTCCCACTGGAGCCCTCATCCCTGCCCCTTCGACAGTCAAATGCTTTGGGGCTCCTCCAGCAGGTGTGCTCAGGTCCCCACCCCAGCTGTCCTGAACAGATCTATGGGATGCAGACAAGCCTACAAGCTGTGCCATGACAGCAACATCCTTCTCAGCAAGACAGCTCAGAGCTGACAGATTTCCCCATGGGAAGCTCTGCCCAGCTCTCCCCAGCTGACTGACTCTGTCAGCTCTGGAGGAAGCTCTGTGGAGTTACAGAGAATATCCTGAGCTGCAAGGGGCCACAGGGATCATCAAGTCAACCTTGTGGCCCTGTACAGTCACCTCAACAAGCCCACGCTGTGCTTGAGAGTGGTGTCCAAACACTCCTGCAGTTCTGGCAGCCTTGGGGCTGTGCCCATTCCCTGGGGAGCCTGGGCAGTGCCCAGCACCTTCTGGGGGAAGAATCTCTTCCTAACATCCAGTCTAAATCCCCTTGATACAGTTCCAGCTGTCCCCTTGGGTCCCTACAGAGCTCAGGGCTGCTGTGACATCATCTGGCCTTCTCCAGCTCTCTGCCCTTTTCCCAGGCTGTTTTTTCCCAAATCCTCCAGTGCTGTCCCCATTCTGTGTAGGATGGGGACATTTCAGAGAGGGGGATGCAGGGCATGAGCTGCAGCCTGTAACTGGCCACTGCTCCTCTCCGGGGAGCACCAACAGGGAAGGGAGAACCCTCAGCTCCCAGAGCATCTCCTCCTGCCCAGACCCTGCTGGAGTGCAGAGCACCTCCCTGCAGTCCCATCCCCACCCAGGGCACCTGTGTGATGCTGGCAACAGGGGCCAGAATCCTGCTGGCGTGTTACACAGTCCCAGCCAGCTGGAACTGCTCCTTCTGAATTTGTTCATAAAACTGCTGAAGTGGAAGCCAAGCTGTTTCCCATGGATGTTACTCCCCAAGCACAACCCTGCCCTGGATGTAGGATCACAACACCCAGAGCAGGGCAGCAGCACAGCCCAGATCCAGCACCAGTGCCAGGACCAAATCCAGGGAAATCCTGCAGGAGCACAGCACCAGCCCCTCAGGCTGTAAATGGGCTCACAAGGGCACCCAGGAGTGGGGGGTGAGGTTCAGGAGATGGGAGACAGATTGCTCCTCGCACATCAAGGCTCACAGCCCAACAGAAGGCTGTCAGGGAAGATCCCCAACAGCTCCAACCACTTCAGATTGGCAGTAGCTGTGAATCTGCTGCCAGGGCTGGGGGACAAGAAGAGCATCCTCGCAAAACACAGCCGGAGCATTTGCTTTGTTTTCCAGAAATAAATTTGGTGTGTTAGTGGAAAATTGCAGGATCTCCCTGCTTTTCAGGGCACTGGTTGGGAGGGGAGTGAGGGAATCAAGGACAAGGCATGCAGAAGCAATTCCCTCCCTTGCCCTACCTCTGGTGTGGCTCTCCCTTGCCTGGAGCATTCCAGACACCCACCTTGGCAGCTCCCAAGACCAAGGGACCCCCCACCACACCTGCCCAGCCCCCAGGGAGGGTAAGGACACGAGCCCAGAGAGCTCAGCCTTGGTCAGGCAGGAGCAGCACATGGTGGAATGAGAGTCTCCAGGGCTTGGGATGAACAAGAGATGCTGGAGGCAGGGCTTGGGTACATATATGAATGGCACAAGAGCTTTAGAGCCAGACATAAAGCAACTTGTTTGGGCTTTGGGGTCTCTAATAATCCCCAAAAAGGAGAACATGGCAGCTCCTGTCTTCCAGGTGATGCTGGCTGCATCCAACCTGGTCAGCCACCTCGGAGTGGGATGCACTGCCTTGTCCTGCCTGTAGACATGAGGCCATGAAGGCACCACAGAATAGTCATCCATGATGAGCACAGAGCAGGACATGATGGGCTTATATCCCCACTGAGGGCCCTGCCCAGAGGTAGAGACAGGAGGTGATTCCACCAACCACTGGGACTGCATTGCACTGTCCAGATGGGCATCTCCACCCTGATGGGGGACCCGGGAGCACCCTGGGGGCCAGGCTTGGGACCCCCAGCATCCTCCCACATCCCTGCCACAGCGAGCGGCTGGCTCCAGACTTCCCTTTTCCCAGATGGGAGAGAAAGTCACCCCTGTGCACCAGCCCCTGCGCTTCCTCGACGCTTAATTAGAAGCCTCTCCCTTTCTCTTGGCTCTCTAATTAACATGCCGGGAGCTCAAAAGCAGGCAGCAGCACAATAACCCGGGGAGACGGCTTCCAGCAGGCCCCGGCCTCATTACGGCCGGGCTGGGGAGCAGGAGCAGGGCGTGCTTCACATATGGAAACACCGCAAACAAGAAAGGCTGGGCCAGGAGAGAAAAAGACTTGACCTCTTCTCCCCTGCATTGTGTGCCCGTCATCCCCCTCGGCGGGCACTGGCGGGGCTGGGGCAGCTCTGCCCTTTATCATGGTGATGGGCCCGGCCACAGCGCCTGTGCCTGGCGCGGCACCGCGGCCTCGCCGCCCCGGCTCGGTTTAATCTCCCCAGACAAGGCTTTTCTCGGCTGTTTCTTTTCTTCTGCCAAGTCGGCTCAGATCGGGGCCATGCTGTCAGCCTGGGGGTGAGGTCCACAGAAACGTCTTCATCCAGCCCCTGCAGAGGGTGGATGGAAGGCAGGAGGGAGCCTGAGCCACCACTGCCATGCACGGGCTTGGGAAGCATCTCCAGGCTTTGGCCAGGCTGGATGGGCCACCCAAGTGTAAGGGAGCAGTCTGGGCGGGTTGGACACTGTGGATGCTGTGGGTGACCACCAGAGGTGGGCAGGATGCTCTGAAGCACCTTGGGTCCACGTGGGACGCAGAGGTGGCTCCACTCTGGGTTTCTCCCATGAGCGGAAGGGTGCAGAAATCACAGAGTCACAGAATGTTCTGAGTTGGAAAGGACCCACAGGGATCACTGAGTGCAACTCCTGACCCCGCCCAGGACCCCAACAATCCCACCCTGTGCATCCCTGGGAGCACTGTCCAAATGCTCCTGGAGCTCTGGCAGCCTCAGAGCTGGGACCATTCCCTGCGGAGGCTGGGCAGGGCCCAGCACCCTCTGGGGGAAGAACCTGATGCACTGCCTTGCCCAAGCTCTTCTTTAAAGGAGTTTCTTCAGTGTGGTTCTTTGAAATGTTTCAAGGTACACCTGGCCCTGGTGAAAAAGACAGATAGTTCTGCTGAACCTGCAAACATCTCTCTGTGGAATGCCAGTCCTTTCAGGACCTGAGCCTAATGCCCTCATCCTGCTACAAGTGACAGACAATGGAATAGCAAGTGAGACACTGGGGACAGATGATGGTGGCCTTGGCATATTGTTTCTTCCTCTCCTCATTTTTAGGTGGCTGTATGCCAGCTCTATGAAAACTGTGATTCCTCTAGCACCACACTGCATGACTCTGGGGGGGGCACTACATCCCACTGACACTGGGGTATTTTTTGGAGTATAATCTCCTACAAAACTACTGGAAACCTCAACTGTCACCTCCTTTTGTGCTCTTCCCACATGGCCAAGGCACTTTGCATCAGTGCCTGACTTTTCCTGGGCCAAGCCTGCCACATTCACGTGCAGAAGAGACCCCAGAGCAGCTCCAGGTCCCCGTTAGGTGATGCCTTACCCCTGATGGAGGATGAACTGTCCAGCCCAGCTCTGCTGTCGCCGTGGTGGAGTCCATCAGTGTCTCTGTGGAAGGAAGGGGAAACAAGGAGTCACTGGATGCTGATGACAGGACTGAAGATGGAGACAGGGGAAAAAGGTGGAGAGGAGCTAGCCCAGGGCTGTAGGGCTGGAGCCATCCCACACTGAGCCTTTTGGCCACATCTCAGCCAGGGGACCCAGGTACTGCTCCCTCCACCCAACTGCTCCCCCCCCACTGCTCCCTGGCCCCCATGCAGAATCATGGAATCAAAGAATGTCAAGGTTGGAACTGACCTCCAAGATCATCAATTGCAACCATCAGCCCAGCACCAAAACCATGTTCACCGTTAAACCATGTCCACAAGTGCCACATCCACAATTTTATTAACATTTCCAGGGATGGTGATTTCATCACTGCCCTGAGCCAATGACTGACCATCCTTCCCATGAAGGAATTTTCCCTAATATCCAACCTAAACCTCCCCTGGCACAGCTTGAGGCTGTTTCCTCTTGTTCTGTCTCTTGCTCCTTGGAAGCAGAGCCCAACCCCCACCTGGCTGTCCCTGCCTGTCAGGGAGTTCTGCAGAGCCAGAAGGTCACCCCTGAACCTCCTTTTCTCTAGGGCTGAGCCCCCCTCAGCTCCCTCAGCCTCTCCTGGTGCTCCAGACCCTTCCCCAGCTCCATTCCCTTCTATGGAAATGCTCCAGCTCCTCAATGTCTTAATTTTCATTAGGGGCCCAAAACTGACCCCAGGATTTGAGGTGGGACCTCAAGGAGCCCAGCACAGGCAATGTCTCCTGCTATGAATGGGACTGTTCCATCCATCAGCCAAGCTGGATTTTCCTCCTCTCAATCCTAAATCCAGGTACCCCCAGCCTAGTTCCACCCCTGCAGCTGAGGAGCAGCCGAGCAGGGATCCTCCATCACCTTCTACTTTCCTTTGCCAAAAGCAGGATATTTTTTTTCTCAGCACTTTGCACAGCAGGGAGAATCCTCTGAGATGCAGTAGGATGTGGGGAGGAGCAGCACTTTTGGGACTTAAAAGTAGTAAAAAATTAAACCACTGTTAAAGCTAGTTTTCCAGGTGATTTGGGTTGAAACAGGTCAGGTGATGCTACCACCAACCAGCACAGAGAAATCCTCCTAAGCCAAGCAACAGCAAAGCCTCCTCACCCTTACTGCAGCCCATGGTACTTCCAACACTGGAATTCTTTTCATCCCAAATAGCTGCAGGCTGGTTTAACTCCACTGGTGGCACAAGGAGGGGTGCTCAGGTTATGGCACCCCAATATCTGGGCCAACATGAGCAAGTGAACCTCCCAGCCAGCCTCATCAGAAATAAATGGGACAGACACTTGGAATCATGGTTCCAAAAGCCATCTAACATCATTGAGTCCCACCATTACTGCAGCACTGCCATGCTCTGCACTAAACCATGTCTCTAAGCACCACACCTACAGACTTCTTTAACACTTCTCAGGGAGTGTTCAAAAGTCTTTTCTGGACACCTCCATGAGTGGCTTCCAGAGTCTGGGTAACTCTCTGTTCCTCCAGGTCTGCAGCCACATGCTCATGGCAATACAGGGATTTTTCTGCACCACACAGAAAGCTGGTTTGTTTAAGAAAATAGGACAATATTCCTGAGTTTAGGAAGTGCAATTTAGAAATTCTGCCCAAAGACCTCAAAACACCAAGGCTGGACATGAGGGGAGTGTGGTGGGACAGACTGCACAGGGCAGCACATGGCCAGTGATTCTGTGCTGAGACCATGGTCATGGCCAGAGGGGAAATTCCCTCCCTCTGATCTGCAGGGACAATGTGAATCTGGCCCTGATTTCAGTACGTGTCCTGGGGATGCCAACTGTGCTTGCAGGGATGCTGGGAAGTTTGCATCCCATACACTCTTAGAGTGCCTCTTAGAATGGTTGGGGTTGGGAGGGACCTTCAAGACCACCCAGTCCCACCCTCCTGCCATGACCAACCTTCCACTAACCCAGGTTGCTCCAAGCCCCATCCACCCTGGCTTGGCTTTGGACACTGCCAAGGGTAGTTCCAGAATGGGAATGGAGAGTTGCTGGATGTAACCATGTCCTTCTCCTACCAGAAAAAGCATGCTCCCAGAAACCCCCCAAGAGCATCTCCACCCTCTCCACTTTCACTCCACTGAACAAAAACAAAGGAAGAAAAGCTCAGCCTTGAGCAGATCCATCACTGCAGAGCCAGGCCTGGATGCAGAGGTGACAACTGCTCCATGCATGTGACCTCCCGCCCCCCCCGGCACCCCAAAAAGTGCCTCGGCAGCACTCTGCTCCCTGCACCTACTCCTGGCAGCAAATCCTCCTCAGACTGTGGCTTGTTCATTACTCCTGGTTCCAGCCAGCGGTTTCCAGTTCACAGGAAACCAGGATTTCGAAATTTGGTTTTATTCCAAGAGTAAAAAGCAAAAAATAGTTCTTTTCAGTTTTTCCCACTAGGAAGAGTTCTGGAAAACAGCTAATCCCGAAATGTTGTGGGTCAGGTTTACAAAATTTCTTTTTAAACTGAGTATTTGTTTACATAGGCAATAATAGTGTTTACTTTATCAGAGGATCTTGCTTTTTCATTAAAACACCAGTGGCGTTTGATCTGAAAGGAAAACAACATTTTTCACACAGTGCTAGCAAGAAGCTTTAAAAACCCCCTGAATTTGTTACTTTATCTTAACTATCAATGACACTGGTGTATAGTAAGTACATTAATAGCAGTGACTAAAATGGAAAACAAGATATATTCTAAGTCATTACAAATAATTCCCCAAATAAAGTTCATATTTTGAAGCATTTTGCATTTTTAAAAGCCTTTTATTTAATGAAAACTCGGAGCAGTGGAAGTGTCATGCTCAGTACACCACTGCTCCCACCCCCTTGTCCTCAACTGAAGGATCCCCTTGGAACTCTGCATCTACTCTGGCAGCCCAGAGAGAAGGAGAAAAAATTTGCAGGTTTTAAGCAAGTTTTTCCAATGGCAAATTATCTTCCTATAAAAAACACCAGATATTCCATTAATTTTAGTCTGGATTTACACCATTTAGCTGCCAGCTATTGGATTTCCTTTTCCTTCTACAAAGACTCTGCAGTCCAAAACCTTTCTCTCTTGTGGTGCTCACGGGTGGCAAATGATCCATCTCCAAGACAGCTAAATTAGCTCAGCTTCCTTCTTCTTCCTCCCTAAACCAGGTTCCTGCTTGAGGCTCCTGTTCATCACCCTTCATAGTGCAGGGGGTCCAGGGCTGTGGTCCCCATGGCACACAGCTGTAACACTCCAACGTGCTCCTTCTGGGGCAGTTTTTGCACCAAGCTGCTTCCCAGGCTGAAATCCTTTTGGAGATGGAGTTACACTGAGCAGAGAGTGCCTGAATTACAGAAAATTGGGAATAACTGGTCCCTGTGAAGCACGGTGACCCTGCAGGGTCAGCACAAGTGGATGTGAATCAGAACCGTAAAACCACAGAATGGTTTGGTTTGGGAGGGACCTTACAGCTCATCCAGCTCCATGGGCAGGGGCACCTTCCACTGTCCCAGGTTACTCCTGGCCCTGTCCAACCTAGAATTATAGAATCATAGAATAGGATGAGCTGGAAGGGACCCACAAGGATCACAGAGTCCAACTCCTGGCCTTGTACAGGGAACTCCAACAACCCCAGCCTGTGCCTCAGAGTGCTGTTGAAATATTCCTTGAACTCAGACAGGCTTGTGACCACTGCTCTGGGGAGTCTGTTCAGTGCCCAACCACCCTCTGGCTGAAAAACCTTCTTCTAATACCCACCCTAGCCCCACCCATATCCCCAAGTCCTATCACTGCTCACCAGAGTGAAGAGATTGGTACCTGCTCCTCTGCTACCCTTCAGGAAGATGTTGAAGAGCACAATGAGGTCTCTTCCAGTCTCCTCCAGGCTGAACAGACCAAGTGACCTCAGCATCTCCTCATATGGCTTTCCCTCCAGACCCTTCCCCATCCTCGTGGCTTCCTTTGGATTGGGTGCTCTCTAATTGCTTAATGTCTTTTTAATATTGTGCTGCCCAGATCTGCTCCAGGACCCGCGCTGAGGCTGCCCCACTGCAGAGCACAGCGGGACAATCCCCTCCCTTTCTTGGCTGACAGCGCTGTCCCTGATGTCCCCCAGGACACGGGTGGCCCTCCTGGCTGCTAGGGCACTGCTGGCTCAGATCCAGCTGGCCATTGACCAGGACCCCCGGTCCCTTCCTGCAGCTGCTCTCCAGCCTCTTGTTGCCTAGTCCACCCACACAGCCAGGGTTGCCCCATCCCCGGTGAAGAATCCGGCACTTTCTCTTGTTGAACTTCACATGGTTGGTGATGGCCCAGTCCTCTGTTTAGTTGAGGTCTCCCTGCAGAGCCTCCCTGCCTTTGGGGGAGGCAACAGCTCCTCCCAGTTTTGGATCTTCTGTGAACTTGCTTCATATTCCTTCCAGTCCTGTGTGCAAGTCATTGGATGCTGAAGAGCTCAGGGCAATGACAAAGCCCTGCAGTGACAGGTCACCAGTCTGATGCCACCCCAGTCACTGTCACCTGTTGTGCCTGACCTGTGAGCCAGTTTCTCACCCATCACGTGAGGTGTTTATCCAGCTGGGGGCTGGACAGGTTATCCAGAAGGATCCTGTGAGAGACAGTATCAAAAGCTTTGCTAAAATAAAAAAAGATTCCATCTCCTGGCTTCCCTGGATCAACCAGGTGGGTTTACCCTGTCATAGAAGGAAATCAGGTTTGACAAGTAAGGCTTCCCCTCATGAAGCCATGCTGGCTGCAACCAATGACTACGTTTTTCAGGTGTTTTTCAATATAATGCTCTCCCTTGATTTTACCAGGCAATGAAGTGAAACTGACAGGCCTGTAATTTCTAGGGTTCTCCTTCTTGCCCTTCTTGAAAATTAGGACAATGTTCACTGACTTCCAGTCAGCTGGGACCTCTTTGAAATCCCGAGACTGCTCAAAAATCACCAAGAGAGGCTTTGCAATGAGATCAGCAGCACTTTGAGGATCCTGGATGA